AACGTAAAAATTACTGTAGAATGACATCTGACGTTATAAACAAATCTACGTATAAAACAAATCAAAAAACAAAAAACAAAAAGTTATAGAGACATAGTTTGTCGACTTTGGGCTGACCTAGTCTTATATATATATATATATATATATATATATATATATATATATATATATATATATATATATATATATATATATATATATATATATATATATATATATATATATATATATATATATATATATATATATATATATATATATATGCGTATATATATAATATATATATATATATATATATATATATATATATATATATATATATATATATATATATATATATATATATATATATATATATATATATATATATATATATATATATATATATGATACCAAATAGATAATATTTAATATATATATATATATATATATATATATATATATATATATATATATATATATATATATATATATATATATATATATATATATATATATATATATATATATATATATATATATATATATATATATATATATATATATATATATATATATGTATGTATAACGGGGTGAATAGAAACAATTTTCAACTTTGGTATAAAATTTTGCATACTTGCTGTTGTTCTAGATAAACAATTTTTCGCCCAAACACAGTTCTCTGTTAAAACTATTTCTTTATAGTATTTAAATTTTTTAATTTTATTTGATTTAAAAAAAAAAATAAATAAAACATGATGTTTTTATTGACCCCTCAAATAAGGGTGAGTAGTAACAGTACTTTAACTTCATGTGTTTTTCTGTTGAAACAAATTAGTAAAGAATAGACACGGTTAAATTATTTTGGATAAATACAAGTTTTTTTCTCAACATAACATAACTGTAAGTAAAATTGAATAGGTATACATTTAGCGTATTTAACTAGATTAAATTATGATTTTTTTATTTATTTAATAGTTTTTGATATTTATTTAGTCTAATTTTTTTATTATAAACTGTAATTAAAAATAAAGTGTAATTATAATAATAAATTATGTAATCAGACAAATCATCTTTGAAAAATATCAAGCCTTTGAATCGCGCACTTGAGCCCAATACTAGAGAGGATAGTTTTACGATGATGAACTTTCTGGAGACAAGAGATTGTTCTTCAGTTGTGATAAACTTATTCGTTTGTTGAACTCTTTTCAAAAATATTACAAAGAAACCATCGCCTATAAAGTAAGCAACCTTTCATATATAACATCTAAAAGATGCTTTTGTTTTACCATAGACTTTGACCAACATGTAGTCATCTTCATTGATGACGAGGCTTTAGCCTGAGGCCCTGTCAGTACTTACACCCAGATCAAGGGAATCTGAAGAGTCACTATGCTGCACTGAAAATCATCTTCATCTTCTGATTTCAACTCCACATGCGTTCGGCTATTTATTAGGCTAAACTTGTTTAGGGGAACATGTGTTTTGGGGATTTGAGCTCTCATTGTCATCAATAAAGTCCTCAACCCCGATACTTTTGCAAGGTTTCACATTAACTTTGGTTCTTTTTTTTCTTATCTTAGGAGTCTGATCTTGTCTCAGACTCTGAAGGAGCTCTTTGAAACTATTGTCAACCGCTTCAGTGTTATTTTTAGGATCCTGATTTTCCTCTTCATCAATAATTTGTGAAAGCATAGAGATAACTTTTTTCCTGTTTAACGGTACTATACCGCATTTCTTACAACCGGCGATCACATTTTCTTCCTCCAATGAATCACATAACTTTTTCAACAACGTTGGAAGTTTATTCTTAGGAACAGCTGCTTCCGCTCTTAATGGACCTTTTTTTCACTCTTTGATAATCTGTCGCCATGTTTATTTCAATGGCTGAAAAAATGTCACGTCCAGAGGTTTTGTCAGATGGGTGGAGTTAGATGCAAGAAAAATAAAACTGATATTATAGTCTTTACACAACTTCACAATTTCCAATGATAAATGGAAAGACAAATTTTCTCCAATCAGAAATTTTTGACCTGTTTGTTTTTTCAGGTATGGAAGAGAAACTGTCAGTATCCAATCTTCAAAGCAAAAGGAATCAAACCAGCTAGACTTTGTTCAATTGTACCTAACATTTTTTATCCCACCTTTTGTCCAGCTTTGGTACAAGTGAATTGCTTTGTACACTACGTAAGGGGGTAAAGTATTTCCATCAGCAGTAACTGCAAACATCACAGACATAGATCCCTTTGATGAGTTTATGATTCTTTCTGGATATTTTGTCCCTCTATGTGTAATGACCTTTCGTCATTAACATCATCACTTAGATTTGTCTCGTTGTAGTTAACAATATTTGATAAAGATGCATCGTGTAATTCATTTATAAGTTTATCAAAATAGCTGTTAATTGTATTTGATGTCACACCAGCTCTCGATCGTTTAATATATTGACACATTCTCACGGCCAGTTGATCCTTATGACGTTTTAAAAATGTTTCAACAAAGTAATGGCCAGGGAAGTTATGTTTAAATTTCTTAACTTTTTTCCCTATTCGGTCTAAGAAGTCTTTTATAAGAAGTTGTAAAGTTTTAGTGTCATAAGGATAGCTCCATTTGCCACATTGTGGATTACGCTAAAATCAGACAGCTTTATCACGAAAGATAAGGCTGTCTGACCACCATGTATATATATATTAGGACCTTTTTTCAAGTGTCGATATAATACTATAATGCAAACCGTGTTTCTCAGCAGAATTCCGAAGACTGAGACCCTTCTGTATGTCAGAAATTGCCTTTTCTATTTTTTTTTTCGATTGTGCTTTTTGTAGCTTCCTGTAACCACCGGTTTGTAGTGTCATGGCATTTTACAGGGCCCTGAAATAAAACAGCTGAGTCAGTTAAGTGTCTAACATAAATATATATTACACAGTATGTATTTAATAGAGTATAAACGTAATTTAGCATTAAATTTTTTTTGTGGTGTGTATAGAAACACTAGAAACTATGTGTTTCTATTTACCTCGTAAATTCAGAAAACCTAACCTAAAAAATAAGAATAATTATTGAAATAATATTGTTAAAGTTAAAGCTTAAAGTTAGCCTGAATCTTTTATATTTATAATTAAACTATGTTTTGTACAGCTAATTACTTTCAAGAACACTAAGTATTCCGACTTACCTGGAAAGTTCAAAGTGGATAAAAAACACACAAGAATCGCAAGGTAAAATTCAACACAAAAAACAAACAAGAACCAGTGCTGCTAACCAAGCAAACCATTATTTCACTTTCAGGTTAAAATGCAACATCAAAAAAAAAAAAAAAAAAATAGTTGCCACTATTTACCCATAGTTTTGTAGAAATTAGATTATATATATAAAAATGAATTTTCGTTTATATTCACCTCACTGTTGCTATTCACCCTGTTTTACGGTATTTGATATCATTATTTTTCTTTTTATTATAAATAATTTATAATACATAAGCCAAAAATATATTTTTAGAAAAATATTTAAAAATGTAAAAGAAAAGAGTTAACGCAATCATGAATAACTGAATAAGCAATTTATTAATTTCATAATTTTAAACAAATTACAACAAAAGAAATTAGATGTTTTGCAAAGCGTTAAGCGCCAAACCATTTTGATTTTAAATTGTTCAAATCTGCCTCAATATCCCATACTAGATTACCGGACAAATCCCATATGGTGCCCATATCAGTTGGTTAGCTGGGTATATATATTTATTTATATATAATAACTATATATTATATTTAAATTTTTGTTTTGCTTTAATGGAAGTTGTAAAACCTCAATGCAATTTAATACTATTATCAACAATAGTTTAAAACATAGTGTGTTTTGATAACGTTAATATAGTTTAAAACATAGTGTGTTATGATAACGTTAGTCTATTTATTTAAGATACAGGAAACTGTTCATGCCAAAAAATAAATATATATAAACCAAATATATGTTAGGTTTTAAATATTTTTTGTACATATATATATATATATATATATATATATATATATATATATATATATATATATATATATATATATATATATATATATATATATATATATATATATATATATATATATATGTATATATATATATATATATATATATATATATATATATATATATATATATATATAATAGTGTATATAAACATTATATAAATATTATTTATATACTAATGATAAATCAAAGAAACCTGCAAAACATGCCTCTTTAAAGTTGATTCATCATTAGAGTTTGTTTTTTATTCTGAAAAACTTTTTTTTCTTGCAAAAGTTTCTTTCTGGCGAAAATTAAGTACTAAATATTTTCTGTTGCTTTATAAAAAAAGTTAAATTGAGATGTCTTAAAATAAGTCACTAATTTTAAAATTGTTATAAAATTTTTGTTAATTAGTAAAATTTATTCATCAAACAAGTCTGACTTTTAAGTTTTTTTTACTATGTTTAAATAATTTTTATAAATATATTTTATAAAAATTGTTCAAACATAATATATTATGTTTTATAATATATTATAAAACAAAAATATATTTACTTCATATTAAATGTAAATATATATTTTTTAATTTACACAGTTTCAGATTTCATTAATTTAATACGTATGACCCGCCATTGTTTTATAAATCAACAATTTTACTTTTTCAAAATGAGCATTTCCACCACGTAAAAAAAAAATAATTAAAGGAATTTCCGATAAGTTATATAATTTATTATTCATATAATAGTGGCACCATAAAAAATAATTTAAATGCTGAAAGTTTGATTTACCCTACTGTGTAATTAATTTGATTTTTTCCATTTTGAAATTTAAATCTAAAGTATAATATTTTCATAGTTTATTTATTTGAAATAAACCATTTTTATTCAAAACGTACAAATAACCGAAAAATAGCTGCTGTGGTTTCAGAAATATTGAGTAGCGCATGTGTGAATACACATAACTTGCATATATCAATCTCACGTATTTCTCAAGCAAAAAATGATTATTTGCCAATAAATATGGTAAAAATATCAAGTTCAACTGATCCAATTAGTTTGCCAATATCTGATGTAACAAGCTCTAATGATAACCTCAATAGTCAGTTTAGTGATTTATATAACACTGAAGAGAACAATGACTTTCGAGAATGTGTTTCTCAAATTGATGATGACAGTGATGATGATGATGATGATGATGATGATGATGATGATGATGATGATGATGACGATGATGATGATGATGATGATGATATCAGTGATGGGGAGAATAATGACTTTACTGAAGAACTTAGTGAAAGTGAAACTTTAACAGGTAAGTTAGTTACTTGGGCAGTAAAATTTAATATTTTCCAGATAGCATATAGCGATTCGCTTGGTTTTTTGAACAAGCTACCCGGTGGAAGTTGGCTAGGGAATAGCTAGCTATAATTGTTCCGATAATGACAGCGATTTGGCCACAAGGATTGCTCGCTTTTTTAAGTTAGCAAAAAGCTATCAATATTTTTAAAGATAAAAACAGCAATTTGGCTACGAGGAGAGCTAGCTTATTAAGCTGAAGATCCACTGGCTATTGTACCTAGCGTCAAATTGTAATAAAATCGTTGTCTAAAAAAAATTGATATGCAGCTATTAACCAGCTATAGATTTGTAGATATTTTGTAGCTAGCTACAAAGCTACGATATGGTGCTAGCAATACATTGTTACAAAATTGCAATGTTTAAAGTTCAATTATCCTCATAATTATAATTGCAAAAAATTAAACAAGAAAAAAAAATCGCTTGAAAATCGCTATAAAGCTAGCTTGTCGCTGGCTAGTCGCTAGCTCATTTTCCACCGGGTACATTCTTATTCGCCAAAAGATGCAAGATCGTTGCTTAGTACTGCTAGAAATATTAACATTCGAAATGTTGCTGGTGGGGAATATTTCTATTTTAGCCTACGGTATTGGCTTTCTTTTTTTACTGAAAGGTATCCTCTTAATAATAAAATAAATCAATTAGATTTGCTTATTAATATAGATGGTTTGCCAATTTTTAAAAGCTCAACAAATAGTTTGTGGCCTATACTTTGCTTGCTTAAAAATTCTGGATTGTGTCCATTTCCGATTGCGGTATATTTTAGTAAAAGCAAACTAACTTCCCTTGATGATTATAATGAAGATTTTGTTTCAGAAATGACTATACTAGAGTGGACAGGGTTTAGAAAAAATAAGAAATATTATTCTATCAAATTAAAAGCGTTTATTTGTGATACATCAGCACAAGCTTTTATAAAGTGCATCAAACCTCACAACAGTTATAATTTCTGTAAAAGGTGTGTACAAACTGGTGAATTGGTTGGAAAAGTTGTTATGCCTAATCGATTTACTGGTTTGCAAACAGACAGTGATTTCTAAAATAAAAATGACCCTGATCATATTAGTACCTTGCTCATATCTCCTTTTTTACGTTTAAATATTGGCTTGGTTAGTGGATTTTCTCTTGATTATATGCATCTTATGTAAAATCTATACAGATTATTCAGAACAACTGTTAAAGTATTTTGTATCAAATTTTTGCGTGTTATATAGAAATAACTAGTGTGTATGTTCATTCACTGACTTGCCAGATGATGTTCAGATATTTGGAGCACTAGACAATGTATCTTCATTTCCTTTTGAAAGTTATTTAGGAAGACTTAAGAAGTTAATCCGTAGTCCACAGTCACCTATTACACAAATTGTATGTAGTTTGTCATAGGACCACTTACAATACTCTGAAACAAATATTTCTGATTTCACTTCCAAAGTTTAAAAAAATATTTCCATGGTCCAGTTCCAAAGCCATTACGTCACCTTTCACAATTTAAGCAATATTTTGGTTCTCACTTTCTAGTTTGTAATAAAATTGGAAACAACTGCTTTGACTTAATAGACAACAAATTTTGTTTAGTTAAAAATATTCTAGCCGTTAATGACTCAAATGACTCTTATGCTTTTGTTGTATATGTAAAGTTTGATTGTAAGGAGCCATTTTTTACAGATCTGCTTGACTCATTTTTACTGACTATTTTTTATTTTGAAAAACTTTTAAACCTTGGAAAAATTTATTCTTTGAGAAAATTAGGAACTAAATATTTTCTGCTGCCACATAAAAATAGTTTTGTTGTAATCCCTCAAACGCACTTTTACTAAAACCCATAGAACTAGGGCCTAACTGCCAACCTTAAACCTTTAAAAAATTGAAGTCGGCAAACTATTACCGACCTAATTTTTACTTATTCCGAGGGTTGTGGATAGTAATAAATTTAGTAGTATCATAACGCACATTCTCCAGATCTAGAGAGCAGGGTAATGCCAAGAAGGGCGTCCAGTTGCAAAATTTGCTTTGACTCTTCCATTTCATATTTAATTAAAAATGGTTCATAAATGGGCTATGGCAGACAGCTAATGAGCTTCCATTTATATTTATAACTGTATTTATATTATCTAGTATGTATCAAGTAGTCAAATATGTATTATATAAATATTATAATATGTATTATAGTCAAATATGTATATTTAATAATAATATTTGTATAATAATATTATAATATTTGTTTGTTTAATTAATCTTACAAATACAAATACAATACAAATGCACACAAAAATAATTACGTGTTGAAGTGATTATTATATTAAAGATACACTAAAGTATTTTTTTTATTCCTAAATTTTTGTCATTTCTATATTGATTTAGAGTGACAAAAATCGTAGTTCTGCTTTCTGAGTCGCATCACGTACTAAAAGATATTAAATTGTAAAATCTTATTAAACTTTACTTAAATTGTGTCTTAAAATGTTTATATTTAACGTTATATCAAACTTTTTTGATTAAAGATGTTGCTGTGTTTGAGTGAGGGTCACTTGTTTAAAGGAAGTGTGATCAAACGTGACTTCACATGATTAAGAATGACGATTATCTTTTTATTGCACGTCATTTCTTTAAGTGGTACTTAAAGAAATGACGTACAATAAAAATCGTGGTACTGACAGTCGCCGGTATACAATTACGAAAGTTACAATGGCGGCTCCCAGTTCAGATTAATGGACAAATAAAACATCTAACGTCTTTCAAGAATTGTTTTTGTTTACTCTTCATTTTTTAAATGAAGAAAAAAATTCACAAAAATCAATAGTATTTTATGCAAAAGTTCCTTTTTTTATGAAGTTTTACAAATATCCAGCTAAATGGCGTAATCAATTATTTTAATATACGCATTTTACTTACATTCATTTTACCTACATCCATTTTACCTACATCCATTTTACCTACATCCATTTTACCTACATCCATTTTACCTACATCCATTTTACCTACATCCATTTTGCCTACATCCATTTTACCTACATCCATTTTACCTACATCCATTTTACCTACATCCATTTTACCTACATCCATTTTACCTACATCCATTTTACCTACATCCATTTTACCTACATCCATTTTACCTACATCCATTTTACCTACATCCATTTTACCTACATCCATTTTACCTACATCCATTTTACCTACATCCATTTTACCTACATCCATTTTGCCTACATCCATTTTACCTACATCCATTTTACCTACATCCATTTTACCTACATCCATTTTACCTACATCCATTTTACCTACATCCATTTTACCTACATCCATTTTACCTACATCCATTTTACCTACATCCATTTTACCTACATCCATTTTACCTACATCCATTTTGCCTACATCCATTTTACCTACATCCATTTTACCTACATCCATTTTACCTACATCCATTTTACCTACATCCATTTTACCTACATCCATTTTACCTACATCCATTTTACCTACATCCATTTTACCTACATCCATTTTACCTACATCCATTTGTAAATTGCACATGTTAATAAACGATAAAAAGTATAGTTTAATAATTTTTGTGATTACGAATAGATACACTTCCAAATGAATTTTGTAAAAATACATTTGTTAAAACACCTGTTGTAGATAAACCGTGTTCGACCAGGTAGAGAAAAATAAATCAGGAAACTTACGGGACCCTCATGGGCATCCCTGTTAAATACCAGATAGCCTATATAGGAATTGTAAGGGCTGAAAAGTTTTACATACATGGGACCCTAAAGGGCATCCCAGAACGCAGCCGTAATTCTTGATAGCCTATATGGGAACTACTATATGGGGCATGTAACGACTATATGGGACTATATTGGAACGTAAATACTAGATAACCTATATGGGAACTATAAAGGAAAAAAAAACGAAAAATATATGGGACCCTTATATCCATCCCAGCGGGCAACCCATATGGTTCCCAGATGGGGCCCTGGGACAACTCCTGCTGGGATCTCTTCGGAATACCCGTAAGGGTCTTTTTATATACGCCCGTATGGGTCCCTTATGGGACCCATGCCAACTGGTTGGCTGGGTTAATTAGTTTGATAAAAAAAAATTAGTACATATTATACAAAAAAAATTTTTAAACAATATAAACATGTATAAACAACTTATTTTTTATAATAATATTTTTTAGTTCTTGATGAGTAGCATAACTTTCAAAACCGACTGCTTTATTGTAAAAACCAATAGGTTTTTTAAATGCGTTTTTAATAATTCCGCAGTAAGCGGTAAGCTGTAATCAATATGGGTCAATGTCCATGTATTCAATAGGTTCAACATATGGGTCGATGTCCATGTATTCAACAGGTTCAACATACGGGTCGATGTTCATATATTCAACAAGCTCCTTATACGGGTCATTGTCAGTACATTCAATTGGCAGAATATATGGATCAATGTCCATATATTCAATAGAACGGTCATTATCCGTATATTCGATGTAAGGATCGACGTCCATACATTCGCTAATAATAAAAAAATGTAGTAATATTAAGTTTTTTACTAAATAAAATACAAAAATATTTTTATAAAGTTTTTTTTTATTTATTACCGTCAAACGGGATGACTTTGATTGGTTTTTGAGCATTTTTTCAAATAAATTCTTTTGTATAATTTTTTTTTTGAATTTTATTTTTTCGATATAACGTTATGCCTTTCCTTTATAGAGTTCCATTAAATAATAATTTTTTTTTGGTTCTAGTATATATTTTTTTAAATCAAATATGTTATCAATCTCAATCCTTCTTTGGACTTTGATAGTTTATTATTTCTTAAAAGCGTATTAATTAAGCCATCTTAAAAAAAGCTTATTAATTAAGCCATCTTAAACAAGTGCTATTAAATACTTTTTTTTAGAGTTTTACTAAATTATAACACAATATGCATATGTTTTTAAGAACTGGAAAAATTTAAATTTAGACAACAAGATTGGTTATCGAATATAACCACAAAATAGACAAAAAAAAAAAAAAAAAAAAAAACAATTTGGTGTTAATATGCTAAACACAACAATAAAATATATCAACACCATTATTATAGTAATTGTAATTAGAAGTTATAAAATAATACTAACAAAAAAAGTACTAATTGTAAATAAATATTAGGTACGAATGTACTTTACTTGTTTAACTTCATTTAATATAAAAATAAAACACCAAAACAAAAAAACCTAAAAATCACATTTTCTAAAGATTTTACAACAAATGGTGTTAAAACCGGACTAGGAATTAGTTGTTCAGTGTAGTGCCTCTAAACTGCTGCAGGGTACTAATTAGTAAAATAAATGTTTGAAAGACAGAGTGTTAATTTTCTTAAATGAAATGTTCTGAGTTCAATCATTTAGTAAATATTTCTGACATATTCAGATAGCGTATCCGATTCACTCAAAAAAATTTCATCAATATTTTTTACATTTGCAAACTCAAGCTGTCTTTGGTGGTTGAAGATTAATTTGTTTTTGGTGGTTAAAGATTAATATACTTAAGAAGTATACATGAAAAACGATGTCTTCTGTAACTACTACTTCTGTAATCCTTCTACTTTCCTTAGGAACCTCATATAAAGAATTTTGAGCGTTAGTAAAACCTCAATAATCTGTCCAATGTAATTCAATTTCACACTTTTTTTAGTTTTTCCTGGGTAGACAACGAAATGCCAACTCCCTCTAGTTAGAAAATTGTTGACATCAGGTTCTTATTGATTAGACTCATTTAAATCAACATCTTTCTTGTCATTACATTAGTTGGAATAACCACTACTACCAACTTTAATGTCTTCTAACTCTGACAAAGATTCAACTTCCTTTGAAGCCACTTTTGATTTTTTGCCTTTAATTTGTTGGTTTTTAGATTTTTTCTGTTTTGATGTGTGTCTTTAATCATTGCCATCTATAGTGATCAATTTTCCGGGTAGAATTTTTTCCTTCTTTTTCTATTTGTTTTTCCTGCTGCATCATTACTGCATCACCACAATACATTCACAGTACATTACACCCTCA